ATACATAATAAAATGTTCATTATTTCTAGTTTTTATTCTTATTTTAAATACATATAATATTTTATCACCTTGATAAATTAATATAGCAATTTCTCCTTTAACTTTGTCACTACTGTAAGTTATTGCCATAAATATATTTATGCATTTTCTTGACTTATAAAATTATTCTTTAGGACAATATTTCATGTTTGAACTAAGGATGTGAATATTTTTATGGCAGTTGTTTGCCCTATTTTATGGATTCCTAAAGGTGCTGCACTAATTTGCAATGCCATCAACAGTAAATGAATGTGCTAGTTTTCCAGAAATCTTAACTGTCTTCATTTCATTTACTTATTTTTAAAATTGTTGCTAATTTACTGTGTTGTCAAATACCCAGGTTACTATATGGTATTTGCTTCATCATTTGATTGACTCATTTAAATAGCCAATATCTATCAAGTGAACATCTTGTTAAGAGTTGGGGAAATAAAGATGGATGAAGTCTAAATCTAGTGCCCTAAAAAGACTACCACATCTAAGTTAGTAGCATAGCACATGTATACTGGAATATACATGAATAGTTCAACCAAGAATAATGGTTGAACTATTCAGAAGACACTGTGAGAACATGGAGAGGGTCACTAAACTTGAGTCAGAGGTATAAAAATAGACTTCAGAAGAGAAATGACAAATGGGGGACACAGGTATCCCAGAAAAAGAATCTGAAAGATAGGATGGGCAAAGACATGGATAAAGGCATGAATGGGAAAATCAGCTTGGAAGAAGCGTGATCTAGTCTAGCTGGAAATATCCTGAGAATCAGTGTCATATGCCAAGAGCCTGTGAAACTGGAGATGGTTCCCACCTCAGGGCTCTGACACTTGGCACCAGAGCACTACTTGTGGGCAGTGCAAGTGGCAGCATTGTACTGCCCACCACCAGTGCCCCCCAACCCCCTGGGATTCAGGCTGCAGACAGAGGACAGCAGTGATTGCAGGTGCCAGCGGTTCCCCTATCAAGCCATCCCAGGGCTTGCAGCTCCTCCTTCAGAGCTGCAGGGAGGAGCATGGGGCCACACAGGCCAACTCCAACACTGTGGCTCCCTCCAGCCGCAGGCAGTAGAAAGGGTGCATGGGTCATAGAATGGAGTGATCAGGTGTCAGCTATGAGTTGATTGGTAAATGGTCCAATCAACCATAGGACTGAAAATGGTCCAATCAGAATTGTAGTTGGGGAACCTGAAAGAGGTTATAAGGAAGGGCAGGCATGCACTTGGGATTCTCTGACTTGTGGCTCCTGGCCTTAGAAGAGAGGCACTTGCATTTTCAAACTCTCTCAGAAAAACTGTCCCTGTTCAAGAAAGAAGAAAGAGCAGCATCTAGTAGCCAATCTCTGAAGGAAGAAGAGAAACCAAAAAGCTGCACAGAGGCTGGGCTGCCTCTACTACTACCTGAAAAGAGCACCAGAGGCCCTAGGCCTGGTGCCTCAAAGAGCTGTTTGTTGGTGTTGTGGGCCAACAGCTTACAAAGAGCTGTAGTGGTAGTGACTGGGTGACCAGTGCTTTGTGTCTGGGTCACCTCTGAGAGCTGTAAATTGTGCAGCACTGCCTCCTGGTGCTGCTGTCTCTGATGCTGTCCATCCCGACCTTCAGTCTATGGCCAGGGCAGCTGTAGTCATCTCAGTGGCCCTGCCTGAGGTAAGTTGGACCCTGGCCTGCTGCCGGCCAGCTGCCATGAGCTGCTGGCCCTCATTGGCAGGATAGTACCATCTCAAATGAGTGGCTTTTTTTTTTAGGACTTCTGGACATTCTAGACATTACCTGGGGTAAGATAGCTGGCCACCTGTGGCCTTGAAAACTTATTGTTTCTCTGTTTGTTAAATAAACCCCATTGTTGTTGTTCTTTGAGCCTGAGTGGTCTTGCAATTGTGCATGACTCTATTGCCCACTGTCCCTTGGATGGCTAGAGCCCCACAGGGCCCCTCTGTAGCAGTCTTTGTCATGAACTGCATAGAGTTAAATGATGAGAGAAGAGACAGACATGTTAGTCAGCACTATTTTGGCTTCCAGTGTCATAAATGTCAAGTAGAAATAGCTTAAGCAAGAAAGAGGAGAAAGAGAAGAAGGAGGGTAGAGAATTACTTGTTATAAAGAGCTCTGATATCTCAGCCATGCAAGGACAGCAATATGTTCAGGTCTTAGGAAAAACTATAATCAGAAAGAAAACTTAAACCCTAACAGGCACTTCTCTCTCATCTGTTTCTGGAGTCGTTCTCTCTTATCTCTTATTTGTCTCTCCTTACATACATTCTCAGCTTTTTCAACTTATGTTGCAGAAAATTCAATCACCAGTAGCTTTACAACATGCAGTTTAAACATCCAAACAAAGATAAGCTCATTCTCTTGTTCCCAGTTCAAGAGTTTCCAAGGAATTCCTCTGATTGTCCTAGCAAGGGTCAAAGACCCATGAAACAAGTTACTGAGATTATGAAGGCAGGGCCTCAGCATTCCATATGAACATGGAAACTACCCTGGAAAATGTGAAAGTCTCAATGGGAAGTGACTATTCCAAAAGTGTGATAGATGGGTATTGAGATGCTAGGAAAAGGAAACAAATATATCAATTATTACTAAAGAGAAAGTCAAGATCGAGTACCATCATGAATGATGTTGAATAACACACCAAAGAATGTCAATTTTTTATAAGCAATAGTTTAATTTGGGCCAAGCCATGCATCTTCTACTCTCACATATCTCTAAACTCCTGTTTGTTCTGGTTGATGATTTGATTTGCATTATTCAAATTTGGGGAATTGGTGGAAAAAAATAAAGGAATTGAATGTCCCCTAAGTGTTCAATGTTGGCTGAACAGCTACCACCTCTTCCTGATTTGTAGAATTTTTTATTTGGGACATGCCTTGACCTTGAAAAAGACCTTGTGGGGTTCACATACCTTAGCCTCTGTCTACACACTTTAACTGAGAGACTTGGAGCTGGACCAGAATCATTCCAAGGGCTCACTGCAATTTCTGATCTCGTAGGCTCCTTTTCAACCTCTGTCTTTAGCTGGAGCAAGGCTATTCTTTTCCTTTTTTTTCTAAATTCATTCATTTTTAGTACTTTGCAAATAAATGTAAAGCATAAGTTCACTTTTATTTAAGTAGTGGTTTACAAAATATAAGGCAAAATCTGGAAAGATTTTGAGCAGAACTCTGAGATAAGCAGATTTTTTCTTTTTAATGTTAGAAGGATCACTCTGGCAGCTGCAGAGGATGGATTGCTGTGGATTGAGGTTTGAGGCAGCAACACCAGTTAGGAAGATTGTTCTATTAATCCAAGTGAGAAATGATGAAAGCTGGAACTACAACAATGCTAGTAGAGACAGTGATGGGGAGATAGGTATTAAATATTGATAAGACTTGATGAATCATTTAGAGAACTTTTTGTAGCAAATAATAGGAAAATAAATAATCCAAAGTAGCTTCAACAATAAATAAATTCATTTGCAAAGCAAACATTAAGTCTGGAAAGAGGATAGACTTCAGAATTGCTTATGGTGATTCTAGTCTCTGTGCACATGAATTCTGTCCTCACTTTTTTATATTGATTTTATTCTCAAGATGGTAATAAGATGGGAACAGCAATTCTAGATCTACTATCCATATATGAAATCATTTAAAGACAGGATCATTTCCAGAAATTTGCCAAGTAACTACCTAAACAATCTAGAAGTCCAATGCACTATCCTTTGCCCCACAGAGTCAGGCTGCCCAGTAAAATAAGGACACATTTTCCCAGAAGATTCTAGTAAACTTCTTAAATCATTAGCCTGAATTGAGTCATGTTCCCATTCCTGAATCAATCATTGGTAAGGGGAATGAGGGATTTTCTATGAGGCCAATCAGGAACATTTCTGAAGTTGATGCTGGAATTCACTTCCTCCGGAACAAGTGGACAGTAGGATAAATGGGTGATAGGGAAAGGTAAAAGGAATATGAACAAAATCAAGAGTTTTCTAGAAACGGGATGGTGAATTAGATGAGTAGTAGGCCACAAACATTATTCAATAGAGTTAGTAATTGTTTTGCAATAAGGAATAGCAATCATGATATTCAGGTTTAATGAGCCAGGTAAGATTTACCAGGGTAAGAAATTAAAGAGGATAAACAGGTTTGGACAGAAGATGAGTTTTGAAGGGCATGAGGCATATCCAACCAAATATATCAAGCAGGCAGCTGAACATAAGAGTTTGAAGCTAAGGAAAGGGTTTGCATTAACAAGATGTATATAGAAGTTATATAGCCTGCAGGTACACACTGAGGTCATCCTTGGATAAGATTAACCAAAGAAATGTGCAGCAAGCATGAGGAGAACAAAGATATGAATTCATCTCTGGAAAGGCCAAAGTAGAAAGATGGGAATTAACTTACATTTGCATATCAAAGAAGTGTTTCTTGAATTTGGATAGCTGTTGCAATGAAAATTTCTACAAAACTAAATGATTTCTAAGCTTCATTTGACAGCTCATTATTTTTAAAGCAACATTTTCCCGCAACAAAATTCACTTACACTAAAGAGTATGGAAATGACTTTGGAGCGAATAGCAATGGAATTTGACCTCAAGTAATAAATACTTCATGGATTGTAGTAAAAGGGTTTGGAAACCTTTTATGATACAAACAATCAGCTGTGGTTAATAGGCTAGATGGCTTTTCTTGGCGTGAAGAAATGTTTGGTGAAGTAGTTGTTTCTAACTTTGCTGTTAGCTGTGATAAATTAACTTTGACAATCTTACCAGGGGGGCCTTAGCAAAAGCTCAAAGAAGATTAAGGTCAAATCCAATTGAAAATATCGGGACCTCACTTTACCAAATTGAAAGTGAAATAACAAACATATGTGGGGGAACAAATCATCCGAGTTTGCTCGTTTTCTGGGAGTTGTGAAGACAGGGCAGTCCCACAGCGCTGAATGGAGAACCACGCCCTTCCAGACACGCATGCTCAGACTTGGGACACAAAGCTTTCTCGACTTGCAGGAGCCGGAGTGGGGCCTGCAAAACTCAAATGGAGAGGAAGTTAAGCAGTCTAGCCTAACTTCAGAGCCTGTTAATTTCCTGTTCAGAGGACATTCTCAGATACGTGAAAAGGATCTCATGGTAGGTTTTTCCTAAGCCAAGGAGAAAAAGTGACTTCAGTGCTAGATGGAAGCAAGCAAAGGGGCAGCCCTCGGGGATGTAGGAAAAGCTTAAAGGTGAAGGCTTTCTGGTTCTTACTCAGCTTAAAAATAGAACCACTTAACTGCTTAAGAAAGGAGAGCTGTGGAAATAGGGCCTGGCTGCAAAATTCAGTGAACTCTGGGCTTTCCCTTCCATTTCTGTAATTTTGTGTTTCTGTCCTTGACAGGCACCGAGCTGTAGAGTAGGAGAAATGAACTGGAAGAAATGGATGTCACCACAGCTCAGATGCTTGTGACATGTGACCTGGTATGTGCCGCTTGCCTTGTATGTGCCATTTTCTCAATTTTGAAGCTAAATGGGTAGGATGAGGACTCTCAAGGAGAGTCACTGGGTGACTAAAAGCATGTCACCCAAATTCAAATTCTGAGTTAACAGCCTCTATGACTCTAGGTCATCTAGCCTCTGCTGTTTAGGTGCCACAGCTGTGAAAAGGATTTAGTGCCTCAACAGTGCCCCGAACAGTGCCTGGTCCATAGTGAAATCACCTAAGTGTTGGCTACTTTTAGTCCAGCTCTAAATTTATATAAATCTTTAATTCTAGGATGAGCACTTAGCATGATTCTTTTAGTCCATGACAATATTCTGAGGAATTAAAAGTTCTTATATAGATATGGACACATCTTGGGAATATTTCATAGCCAGAAGCTAGTGTTGTTAAGCTGCATTTTATTACTTTTAAATATTTCTAAACCCTTTTAGGAAATGTTGTTTTCAAAATAAGGTAAGGGATTTCAATTAGGCTTTGCAATATCTTGTAAAACTGTACCCTGAAGGTTCTTTCTCCCTTGTATTAATTGGAGCTATATTAGAATTAATTACCAAAGGAGATGGATGAGAGCCCATTGGCTGCTTGGTGGGAACAGTCACTGCCCCTGTCTCAGTAACCTCCATGCCCCAAAGTGAGGTCCTCTAATTGCAGGGGAAGGAGAGGGAAAAAATAATTCATTACTGAAGGAAATAGTGCTACTTAAACCTTCATACCAAAAGGAAAAGTGGCATCTGGGGTTCTGCCATTCATTTCTTCTCCCCCTACCTTTATTTAGCAAAGCTTTAAGTGTGTAATTACTTGTGGTTATATGTCAAAATGTTGTCCAGTTATTTCCTTCTGATTTTGTAGAGCTACATTGGGGTCAGCAATTTTGGCAACTAGTTTGACAGATTTGGTTTTCCACTAGGGAAAACCCTATTTGCTCCCAGGGCATGGTGAAACCAACACTAGACTGACTTGTGGGCAGTGGAGACAGAACAATAACTCCTTGCCTTTCGACCTGATTTTTATTAAACATTTACTAAACATTTGTGTGATGAGGTGTATTTGGCGACATTTATTTGGAAAGTTTTTCAATTAATATTTCTATTAATATTCAGGAAAGATTTTTATGATAATTCACTTCTACTGTCCAAAGGAGATTTCATGCTGTGAAGAAAGCTCAGCAAATGGGATTATAGCATGCATTATCCTGACCTGAAACTTAGATTCTGACTTCTTCCTCTGAAATTAGCATTCAAAATTCTATCTGATTCATCTTAGATTTGTACTTGCAGCATGCAGGTATTTAATTTATAATTTTAATTTGCTCTTGAGAGCCCTCTGGGAGGCAGGACCAAGTAACATTTCACCGGTTATCTAAATTTCTGTGGAAACTTGAGTTCAATGGCATTATAATTCCTATTGATTGCAATAATATTTCAATGTTTTTTTCAATTGGTTTGATAAGTGGTTGTCCATCTCTTCTTAATCCAATCTAGTTAAGACTTGGAGATGAGTAGGAGGAAAGAAGGTAAAAGAGGAAAGCCTGGGACTTGGACCAGTATCTAGTTTCAGTGTCAAAGTCAATTAGTGATCAAAGAATGGCATTGTTACCCAGCAGGCTCAAGGTCCCCTATGTCAGGACCCTGCCACAGGACTCCCAGGAAAAGATGGTTGGCAGTGGTTCAGTGTGGACTACTCATTTGGAAAAGACCTAGCCAGGAATTAGTATTCTAAGAAAACAGAATTCTCAGAAGAGATACTTGCAAGAGTTAGCAAGTATCAGGTCACCATCAATTGACTGAGTTCAAGACAGAGCCTGGTTCTGCAGTGACTGGCAGGAGATTACACATGGGTGGCCTATATCCAGGAATCCAAAGACAATGGATACCTGGGTACTCAGGGTTCAACTGAGAGCCATAGGCCCACATCTTAGGGCAGTTGGCTAAAGTCCACTCTCACTCCAAGTTAGGAACAAATCACTTAACTTAGAACTCTTTTATGTCTGGTTCAGAATCTCAGGATATAGGAAGAATAATCTTAGAATTTAAACAACTTCTCTTAATCCCCATAGTTGGGAAGAATATAATATGGTAACCCCCAAGAATAGCTTTTCTGAAACCATCAACCTCTTGAAGAATAAATGTAGGCCCAGAAATTATAAGTTTTAATGGTCAAGTATGAAGGGAACAGTGAGATCTTCAGATAAATATGGATACCACACCTCTGGAAGCCTGAAAATGTGTGAGGGACTGGATTTCAATTTCCTCACTTATTACACTTCTCCTCTGACCACTTCATAGCATTTACTCTGATTGAAGCACTGTGCTAAGTGCAACTCTATGCCCGCATGTGCATATTCCTCATAATAGACCTAAGACTTAAGTGGTGTTGCTTCATCTTATGGATGAGCAAAATGAGTCTTAGAAAAGTAATCAACTTGCCCAATCACAAAGCAAGTGAGAGGTAAGGTGAATCTTAAAGGTCTAGTGCATAGTCTATTGTAAAGCTATATCATGTGTAGAATAAATAGTGAGGGTGTTACCGTGCATAGTGTGTATAGTGAAGACTATATCATGTCTAGAGTATATACGAAGGCACTAGCACCTGTAGGGTAGACAATATAGCTAACAGAACGCAGGAGTGCAAGAAGACAGAGCTCCAAGAGGCAGATTTTCCCTTAGTAAACTTTTTTAAGTCATAGATCTTCCATTCTTTTTAGAAAATGTTTGTAGAGACTCTTCTGTGCCCCAAGCACTGTTTTAGCAAATAAAACAGGCAAAGATTCCTGTTCTCATAAAGCTAAATTACAACACACGGTAAACACATGATAAACAATACACTTAATAAATACATTACAAAATATAATGCAAACTTTTGCTACAAATTACTAAGTAATATAAAAGTAAATCTAATAAAAACAAACATTAGTTGTTATTATGTGATAAATCCAATGAGGGGAATAAAAAGGGCAAGGAAGGGACATGGGGAATGTAGGAGGTGGGTAAGCAGCTATTCATAATGAGCTGACCTAGGAAATATGAAAGTCTTATAACCTGGAATTTTTGAAGAACAGCAGGTGACCCAAGTGGCTGGAGTGGGTTGATGACAAAGAATAACAGACACACAAGTCAGGAAGGATTCTTAGGCTGCCGCAAGGTTTTTGACTAATTTGGTGAGAAGTAGGTAGTCACTGCAGAGTCCTGTGCTAAGGGGTGACACAATCCAAGGTTACATTTTAAAAGGATTGCTCTGGCTGCCATACTGAAAATAGACAGGGAGACCAGAGTGGAAGCAAGGAGAGCCATTCTATCGAGGCCATTACAGTATCCAGAGAAGAGATTCTGGATTTATTTTAAGGGTTGAACCAGCAAGTTTTCTTGATGGATTTTGTTGTAAGATGTGAGAGGGGAGGAGTCAAAGAGCTCCAGGGATTTGGGGATGAGCATTTGAAATGATAGTGTTTGTCTCCTCTAAGATGGGGAAGAAAATGAAACCTGCAGGCTTGAGGTCAATATTAGTTGCTCCCAAGGGGACACTTTAGGCTTAAAATTATTATGAGATCCCCAAATGAGGTTTAAAATAGCCCATGTGGACTATGGATGACCCTGGAGATTAGGAGGGAAGTCTGAGCTGTGGATACAGGTCTAGGAGCCATCAGCTCACAGTGGTGCTATCAGACAAGCTCCTGCAGGAACCAGTGATGCATTCTCAAGGTTCAATTGAAAAGAATTTAATAAAAGGGCAACGTATAGAGATGTCGGCAGATCTAAAGGGATTTATAAGGGATGGCAGAAGTGGAAAGAAATTACTACTTCTATGTTTGAGTAAGAGAAATGGAGAGGCGATGGCATGCCTGAAGCTCAGTGAGAGGTAGAGCCAGGAAAACTCCTCCTGCAGCTGCCAGCTCTGTTAGTCATTAACCAGCCAGCCAGGGGTCCTGGGCAATGTTGTCTGCAGCCTCCTGGGCCACAAAGTGGGGCACAGAAAGGTAGAGACAAAGTGGAGGAGCAATCTCACAGATTATGTATAAAGCCTGAGGTTATATTAAATCTTTAAAGGAATGAGAATAGTAACAAGAGGACAAAGAACTGAGCTTGGGGTTCTTCATCCTTAAGAGGTTTGGAAGAGGGAGAATTCACAAAGGATACTACAAAAATAGTAGCTTGTGACATAAGACAAACAGCAGAAAGTGTGGAGTCCTGGAAGTCACGAGAACATTTATCAAGGGAGAGGGTGTGATCAGTGTGTGGAATGCAGCTGATATGTCACGTGAGGCGCAGACTGAGAAGAACCCTGTGGGTTTAACACCATGGGAATCATTGCTGTCCTGGACAAGTTATTTGGATGGAGTCGGGGTGGGGGGCAAACACCAAGGGTATTGGGAAGGGGTATTGGGGAGAACAGGATGAGAGAAATTTTTGCTAGCAAGATATACAATTACTTCAGGAGTTTTGCTGCAATTCGGGAGCATCACAATGGTACAGAAAGTAGGGAAGAAATAGGATCAAGAGAAATATTTTTGATAAGAATAAATAATTTGCTTCCATGATAATGGGAGAGGAAGTAATTAATGATTCAGGTGGAGGAGGGGAACATTCCTAGAGTGAGGATGTGTCTTAGCTTATGTTTCTTTGGTGGAAGAGGTCATACTCTTGTTCCTACCATCTGTGACAGGCTCTTTGGAGAGAGAATGTGACACCATGGGAATAGATGACACCTTTTTCCAGCATTAGCACTTTTACCTCCCCCCACCTGACTTTTAGGGCACCCATAATATTCTTTCAAGGGTAGAAATAGCCAGTTTCTTGGCATCCGCTAGGCACCAGACACTGTACTTCATAAATATTAGTTCAAATCTTCACAACAACTCAGAACTCTACCTCTAATTTCCAAAATAGCCTTCAGTGTCTTAATTAGGTTAAGAAAGTAGCTCACAGGAGGCAGAACCAACATGCAAATCCTGGTCTTTAGGACAAAGCACTTATTCCATTGTGTCTCCCTGGCCAACCTCATATTTTATTTTTCTATTTTGCTATCAGTTTTTTTTTTTTTTTGTCTTCATTCTCTGTGGACTCTTATCATTGTCTGTTCCTTGTTTTCCAAAATTTCTACCTCCTCATCCCAGCCATTCCCGCCTCATCAAAAATCAGCTCCGATAACATTTACACCTTTGAACAACAAAGTTCCCCAACAACAAAGTTACCCAAACAAGAAGTATCATTCCCCTTCCAAAACAGGACCTTCTTGCAAAGAAAGCATTTCTTCCCATTCCTCAATGAATCTGTACTGGTGGACTGAGAGGCATGGCAAATGTTGATGGAAAGAATAGATTTCTAGAAGCTCCTGAAATCTAGCTGTGAAGGCCATTATTTATGCCCCTGACAGACTGTTTTATCTGTTCATGTTGTTTGCTTAGACCACAACTTCTTTCATTTCAGTCCTGAAAAATTCATGACCTTGACAACTTGGAAGGCCCACGCTGAACTGTTTACCTAGTTTGATCAGTACTATTGTCCAGCCTGTTCTGAATAATCCTCTCTCTCTCTAATTCTTTTTATTTCTCCTAACTCTTTTTCTTTTTCCTATTGTCTCTTTTTCTTGCTCTGTCTCTGCTTCATACACACACAAAGGCACACACAAGCACACAAACACATACACAAACACACACTGCACTTGCTTGGAACCTGGGCTGGATTTACAGGATGGAGTGACCTGCCACTGTTGCTAATAGGTTGGATCAATATTACAAAATGTGCCACATCCTTCTTCATTTTCTCATCATGCAGCAGTCGATAGTCTTACCTCGCCTGTAAACCTTTCTCAAAGGTTCCACACTTTTCATTTCCCCTTGTTGTTTTCTGGGTTGTGTTTGCTCAATCCAAGATCCTGGGGACAGAAAAGAAGAAACTGATCCTAAATTTTCCAAGTTTGACTGATTTGTGCTCACTCTGATTTTACCTGCACAGCACACTCACATGTTCACAGACACTCAGTTTTGTATGAATGAGCATGTGTGTGTGAGAGAGTGAGAGGGCATATGTGTACATGGTATTTCTTAAATATAAGATCAATCACATTTTTTTTTTTTTACCTTCGGGGAACTTATCTACCCAAGGAGGAACAGAGTGCAGAAGGATTTATTCTTCCCTATAAATTAATGTCATATGAGAAAACTTTGCTCTAATGACTTGCTGCAGCAGGCAGCTGGAGCGAGCAAATAACATGACATGGTTTCCAATGATGCTTCTCAGCCCAAGTTTATGGTGCTTGCTTTGGATACCAAAGCTGTATGCTCTGATCAAGGTCTTGTGGGATATGTATCTGACCTTAGGCAGAACAAGTAACTGTCGATATGTTACTGTTTGAGGGGCTAGAATGTTCCCTCTACCCCAATAAAAATGGTACTTCTCTGAGCCCATCACAATAAGTCAAACTCCTGAGTGAATATCTACATAGGGTTAGATATTGAAGACCTAACAGGTAAACAGAGTGTGTGTAATTAAGAAAGAGCATGTTGGTGGTAGGGGTGTAATATAAATCTATTCATGCCTGATTGTGAATTATACTATTAGGCATCTATAAAGTTCTGAAGGAATGGGGGCCAGGAAGGGTTTGGCATGTAAAATAATGATGCTTTAAATATATTCACATATCTGGCAACTTCTCCTCTTACCTTACCTGGCAAAAGGCATTCTGTGGATGTCATTAAGTTAAGAACCTAGATCTGAAATAGAAACCTAGCCTGGATTATTGAGGTGGATCTAGTGAAATTGTTACGGAGCAACCCCGATATAAAACGGGTTGCCTGGCTGTGGGTCCTCACCCGCACACTTAAAAGGGACTTATTAATACGCCACTACAGGTACACACAAAAGGTTAATAAAAGGTTTATTTACAAGGGAAAGGGAATTAAGGAAATGTACAACTCGGGGAGAAAACAGGGAAATAAAGTCTTTAATGCGTCCTACCCGATCTGCCGACCTGGAAACCCAAAAAGCACTCTCCGAGCTGGCCAGACGCTGCGAGCTGGCGGGGAGCCAAAATGGGGGAACCCCTCCAAAACCCACGTGTCTGGTTTTTCCAAACCTGGCTGCTTAACCCCACCCTCATGTTCCAGCCACCTTCCCTTTGGTGGTGATGGGATTTGGAGTTCCCAGTGTCTTTGGCTTTGGCCTGGGGTGGGGGTGGAGTCCACAAAGCCTGTATGGAATTAGCTTTAGGACATCCTTTTCCCCCTAACAAAATTACACAAATTGTAAAAGCAGAAAGGGCAGGCAAAGAAGGAATGTCATGGTAGAAACAAGAAAAAAATGAATTGCTTGAGAAGGACTCATCCTTTCTTTGCTGGCCTTGACCATGGAGGATAGGAGCCATGAACCAAGGCATACTGGTGGTCTGAAGAAGCCAGAAAAGACAGAAAAGTAGATGCTTCCTCAGAATATCCAGAAAAGCATTTAAACCTGCTGACATATTGATTTTATTCCACTGAAATCTGTGTTGGGCATAAAACCTATAGAACTGTCAGGTAATAAATCTGTGTCATTTTTAAGCAACTGAATCTGTGGTTATTTGTTATGGTAGCAATAGGGAACTAATACCAAAAAAAAAAAAAAAAAAAAAATTGAAAGAGAAGAGAGTCCAGACATCTGAAGTATGGAAAAGAATCTGGGAGGGCAAGGTAGGTTGATGAATTGAGCCCTGGGAAGACAGGAGACAAGACTGAGGAATTTAGGGGGAGAAATAAGAGATGAGACAAATAAGAATGAGGACAAGGATGACTCTCTCTTGGGGGTCTCTGGTGCCATTCAGGCTGCAGGTACATCTCAGAGTCCTGTCTTGTGGGGTTGCTGAAGGAGGTGAAGAGGGCATGCTCTGAGGCTTCTAGCTGAGTACAGAGAGAAGGAACCAGAGAATAGGTCACACCCTGGCTGCCTGAAGCTTCTCTTCCAGAGCATCAAAGGCTCCCCACGTGGGACTCCCATGTGATGATGGCTGTCAGATGTAGGCCAGAAAGGACTTTCTCTCACCCCCCAGCAAGAGACTCAGCCATTCCAGTGATCAGATCTTATGGCATGTGATGTGAAGCTTGTCAAGTACAGGGTCACAGATAGAAATGATGAAGTGGGGAGCCAAAGAAGGAGGGGAGCAAGGTAGATTACTGTTTTCAGATAGCAACCTGTATTTTGCAACCTGGCTGGTATAGAAAAAATTAACTTTCAGAAACATATTGCATCTTTTTTTGGATTGCTGCAGCCAAAATGTGCTGGCATATAATTTTCAATGACAAAGACACACAATGTCAGCTTCCAGGGGAAATTTTACTTCCTTTTGTTCCCAGATCTTAAATACTGCCAGCAGAGTGGACACTTGGTGCTAGGCAGTAGATAATGATCAACCGACCTAGCTATGTTGATCTCTCTAGAAATTCTCTTCCCAGCAGACCCAAGTCTGCTGAACTGATATGAAAATTATAAGGAAGCGGGGGTGCTGTGTGTATTTCATAGTGAAAAGAGGCTTGCCATCTCCAAGAGAAAGGAGGAAGCTCCTCTCTTTCTCCTTAAAAGTGTCAGAAATATATAACATCTGAGTGAGAAACTATATGGCATGAGTGAGAAACTGTACGTCATGAGTCTTTCCAGTGACTGGTTTGGTAGGCTGTTGCCAGGGAGTATCCCTCACCCTTATTGCAATACTCCTGAAATGTCTGAACTATGGACAATCATTCTTATCACAATATAACATTAAGGAGTAAAAAGACACACAATGCCAGAAATACCGACTGCAAACAGGCGATTGATTGCTGGTTTAATTTGGCCATGAAACCCATTTACTCATCCATCTTCAATGCTGATGTATTCCTTTTCCAGATGGGCATTTGAAGAGGAGATGCACTTGATTTGGTTTTTAGCTCCCAGCTCTACTCTCAGGACCCCCATAGGACTTTGTACTCGCTTACCTCCTCCCTTCCACTGGGTTAATAACCCCCTCCATCCTCCGGCTTTCTGGGCACCTAATATGCCCCGAATGTTATTCTTGGGCAGAAAAACCCTCTCAGGCACGCCTTGGGGAGGTCCTGCAGCTGTCACCCTCAAGAATCTATGACCCACATAGTGATTCTCCAATGCTTCACTGACACTTTCTCATAACACTAAACCCTCACTCTACACCCAGGAGATGAGAAAGCTCATTTCCTGGAACTCTGCCACCTATTGTATTTCTCTATTTCTACTCTATTCCTGCTATTTATCTTTTGCTTACCAGAATGATAGTTTCAATCTCTAAAGGCCTCCCTGTAGTACTTTCTGTACCTTTAGTTTACAAATTATTTAGTTCAGCTACTGAGGATGTTCAAAGACATGGTCATTCTCTGCAGCCTGGGCTGCCACCGTGGTGACGGTGATCTGCATTCTCCTTTCTTTTGTGCCCAAAGGTTTGGGAAATTAAATATGTTTGGGCAAAGTGCTTATTTTTGGGGATTCATAATCTATTACACTGAGCAGTTAGAATATAGTGGGATGGAAAATTGGGGCACAGGAGAAAGAATAGAGAGAGACGAAGAGGAGATGGTGGAGGAGGAGGACGAGGGAAGGATAAGCAGAAGACAAGGAGGAGAAGCACAGGGAGTTCTAATAAAATAAATCATAGTAGTTTTGATTTACTATGATTTGTCTTACACCAGTGAGAATGGCACATATTAATTTAAAAAACTAGCAACAACAAATGCTGGCGAGGGTGTGGAGAAAAAGGAACTCTCCTGCACTGCTGGTGGGAGTGCAAACTGGTCCAACCACTATGGAGAGCTGTGTGGAGATTTCTGGACCTACTAAACATAGAGCTTCTATATGATCCAGCAATTCCACTCCTAGGTATTTACCCAAAGGACACAGAAACATCCATTCCAAAGAGCACCTGCACCCCTATGTTTATAGCAGCACTGTTTACAATAGCTAAGCTTTGGAAACAACCCAAATGCCCAAAAATAGATGACTGGATCAAGAAGATGTGGTACATATACACCATGGAATATTACTCAGTATTCAAAAAAGATAAACACATGCAATTTGCAGCAACATGGATGACGCTGGAAGGGATCATGCTCAGCGAAATAAGCCAGAAAGAAAAAGAAAAATACCGGATGGTCTCACTCATAGCAGGAATTTAGAAAACCTAAATAAGGGACCAGGAAAATGAATAACTGTAAGAAAGTGAAAATCAAAATCAACAAAAAACTATGAACCAGAGACACTTTTTGGGGGGTGGGGGGCAGGAGGGGAGGGACTGGGGTCAGAATGGGGGGGTTGAAACTGTATGGGGAATATAAAAATAAAATTTATTATTTAAAAAAAAAATCATAAACCAAGTCTCATGAAGAAAGTCATGTTAGAAGGATAAGTAGCAACCAAATGTAATTCCTCATGGCAAGCTCTTGTTGGCTGATGATAAGTGGGAGCAATGCATATGCCTGGTGTCTGCCAACAAGGTTAGGTTTGTACCACACAGGTCACCTTGCTGTGCTCTGTGGACGTGGCAGAGAAGGGAGACAACAGAGAAGGCAGAGCCCTGTGCAGTGATGTTAGCAGGGGTTTTCAGCAGGAGGATATGGAGGTCCTCCCTGCAAGCTGCTTGTAACGACTATTTCCTTCCCCCTCACCCCACCTCTCTGTACCCTTTCTTTGTTCTAACTGGAATGCAAGACTGCAGAAAACCCCAAATATCATAATCAAACAGGCCTTTCAAGTATGTAGGGAACTGATGGGTAAATGAAGCACTATAAGAAAAGCCATGGAAAATAGACATTGATCCAAACTTGGAGGTGAAGTGTGTGAAATTGTTTATAAATTGTCTGGATAATTGTAGGCATTGAAGTGGGACGCTAGTGCTTCCATCCACTCTTGTTTTTTATACAGCTTTAATTAACTTTCAGACAGGAAATAGCACTCTTCAGAGTGAGGCAGGGCTGGATTCAAATCCTACCTTCAATATGTAGAGGTCTGATTTTAGAGTAGTCATATTTGCATCAAGTTGCAATTTTTATATCTCTGAAACGAGGATAATGTTTCCTTGAGGTATTAGAATAGGGCTTCAGTGAGTTCAGATATGCAAAGCACAAAGGATAGCATATACTAAGTGCCTGTTCAATGGCAGTCTTGGATCTTGTTAGAAATAGGACCTGGGGCCTCCCTGGTGACCCAAGGGTTAAAACACAGCACTATGAAGCTAGCCTCAGCTACTGCAGCAGAGTTCAATTCCCACCCAGGGTGGTGACCCACATGGTGCAGCAAACCTCTCCTGACTCGCCTGCTGCTCCGCTCAGCAGTGTGTTTCAATCAATCCACCTGTTCTGCTCCCCACTCAGTCTCTGGGGAATCCTCTCACACCCCCCACCCCTCTGGTCTGTACCCCAGTTCTTATATGAATCAATAAATCTTTAAAAAGAAATAGGACCTTAAATCTTGAAATCTTCCGTTACTTCAGTGTGAACTATGTCATGTTCTTCCCCAAGTTTGTGCTTTCTGTCTAACTGTATAAGTTTGAAGGTACCTGTGCTGGAGATCTCAGGTTCACCCTTTTCCCCTGCCTGAGATCCTTTCCCCAAGCTGTACCTCTCTGTCCCTGTCCTGAGATGCTCATCCATAAGGATAATATCAACAGGCTCCCCTGCACTTTGCTTCCAGTTGGGATGCTGGGCAGATCAGAGGAAAATGGGGCATGAGCTTAGGGTGTTTAATCCCTGGCTCCTTCCTGGATGAGCAACCTGGACTGGCAGCCTCCATTCTCAGAAGATCAGTGTACCCCTCACTGTTGTCTGCTCTACAGGTATTGCCCTCTTGATTCTTACAACTGTTTTCTTCCCTATCCTTTTGAACCTAACCCCTCATGGTTCCTCATGGTTGCTATGCACTCTAGCAATCCCTTTGTAATGAGACCCCTCAAATTATCCTAATCAATAAGTCATCTGTTTCCTGTATGAACTTGAACTTATTCAGTGTCAATATGTCACCTGATGGGGCCTCCCCTGGTGGCGCAGGTGGTTGAGCGCCACACTGTGAAGCTGTCCACAGCCTCTGCAGTGTGGGTTCGATCCCAGCCGGCCAGTGAGAATCCCACATGGTGCAGCAGACCTCTCCTGTCTTGCCCGCTGCTCCCCTTAGCAGTATGTTTCGTCAGTCTGCCTGTTCTGTTCCCCGCTCTATCTCTGGTGAATCTTCTCACCCTCCTGCACATTTGGCCTGTACCCCAGCACTTGTAGAAATAAAAAATTAATCTTTAAAAAAAGAAAAAGTATAAAAAAAAATCTCACCTGATGATCAAATCAAAAATCTACAAGTCATTGTAATCTATTCTCCCTTGTGCCCCTAATTCCCATCAGTCATTCAGTCCTGTCAGACATACAACCCTAATAGTTCTGGAAGTTGGCATTTCCTTTCTATGCCCAGTGATCATCTTATCAGCTGAGATCTTGATTACTTGATTGATTGGGTTGACAGCTGTTAATTAAGTGTTTTTCCCTGCTTCCATTTTACCACCTCTTCAATCCACCCTTTCCATCCCCAACAGGATTGTATGCAGCCTCTTTCCCAGATCTCCAGCACTAAAGGGCAGTGTCCAAACTTCTCATCAGGACCCCAAGAAACATTATGAAACTGCACATGATCCACATCCCACTTCCTCCTCCTTCCTCTTCTCCTCCTGCTCCCAGCTGCCTCCTCTCAGGCCACATATGCACGCTGCCATCCAGCCATTTGTGGTACCATCACATGCAGATGCAGTGGTAAAATCTTGCATGCAAGAACAGGAATAGCAAGAGGAAGCAATAATTTAAATGGTGTCTCTGGCTCCTGTTGTGCTAGAAGAGCATTTGTTCTGAGATGTGCCCAGAGACAGAGCTGAAAACATGCTCAGTCCCCTCCTTATGCTCTTCACTCCTTCCCTTTTCTAGTGTGAGTACACCATTCAGCCTAGGATTTGAAGATATATATATATATATATATATATATATATATATATTTTGCTGAACATGACTTCAAAACTCAAGCCAACTTTTTCATTTGTTGCTTAAATCAAATAGCATGATCTTGTTTCAATATTGGGAAACAATCTCTGTTGAATTTAGTAAGAAATGATATGTCAGTCTGCTGAGGCATTTTAAAGAGTATTCTGACTAATGCAATCTTCCCTCCGTGAGCTGGTGAGATACTTGTGGCTTTAGAGTTCCCACACTCCTTTATACCAAGGTGCATTATCCATGCTACTCATCTGCCTGAAGCATTCTCCCCACATTTTTCTTACTAGATAAAGCTTACCCATTTCTCCTAACTCAGCACAAGGCAGGTAGGTATTTCCTTCCATCCCTGAAAACCCTTTATAAATACTGCAGTTTCAGTGGTCATCATTTTTTTGTTGTAACTGGTTACTGGCCTACCTCTTCACTGCTCTGTGAACCCCTTGAGGGCAGAGTGAGTTTGAATGTGAGTCCCTTGTGCATTTTGCTCTTCCTATCACCTGTCATTTGAACTACTAGGCTTCCTCTATGGATCATGCCACCTCCATAGAGTAATGTTTGTAGCAAGGTGAAGAGCAGTGGTTTTTATAGAATAGGTCTGCTACTTCTGTGCCGTGGTCTGAGACATGAATCTATCAGGGAATCACTAAGCTTTTTGCCAACATATTATAAGATATGGCTTTGTTGTGAGGTCAAGCCCTGTGTGGCATTCTGATTTATAATATATATATATATATGTATCTTGACATATATGTATTCTGATTTATAATAAGATATATATATCTTGCCATATGTGTGTGTGTGTGTGAGATGAAGGTCAAGATATCTTGACCTTCATCATCATTTTGGCAGAGTTCTTAAAATCCTTGGAACTTCCTAATGATAAGAATTATAAAGATGTCTAGTGTTAAAAAAAATAATAACAGTACAAAACACAACAAAGCAAAAACAGACAATTATAAACCAGAGACATCCTGCAGGGGAGGAGGAGGGAGAGGGGTGAGAGGGATGAGAGGAGGAGCTCAAGGGACTGTGGTGATGGTGCACAGGTGCCTTGGGGAAGGAGATTCTATGGGGACTCAATCTGAGGGGGTGGGGGGAAGAAAATATGGTCTAAAAATGTTAAATGTTAAAATAAAAAAATTATAAAGATGTCGTTTCTTAAGTTAATGAGGTGACTTTTAGAAAACACCTAAGGACTAAGGATGGGGGCTGGTTGCCAGAACAGTCTACCAGGTTGGAGCTTTCATTCCTATCCTCCTGGGAAAAGAGAAAGGCTGGCAACTGAAGCAATCACCAGTGGCGAATGATTTAATCATTCATGCCTGTGTAATAAAACTTCCATTAAAAAACCTAAAAGCACAGGGTTCAGGTAGGTGAACACATGGAGATTTGAGTCGCATAGTTTCCTCAGAGAGAAGGTGAAGTCTCCTTGTCATTACCCTATACCTTGCCCTATGCATCTCTTTCATCTGATTTTTGTGGCTTATAGCTGTTGTAATAAATACAATAAGTAAAATGCTTCCCCGGACTCTGTAGGCCACTCTAGCAAATTGACCAAACCTAAGGAGGAGGTTGTGGGAACCTCTGATTCATAGCCAGTTGGTTAGACTTGGGTCTGACATCTGAAGTGGAGGAGGGGTACAGGAGATAATCTTGTCGGACTGAACCCTTTACCTGTGGTATCTGATGTTTTCTCCAGGAAGGTAGTGTCAGAATTAAATTGTAGGACTCCTACTCGTGTTGGGAGAGTGGTGGTTGGGAGAGTTGCTTTGCGGGGCAGGAGAACAAACTCTCTCTCTCTCTCTCTTTGTCTCTCTGTCTCTCTCTCTCTCTCTCTCTTTCTCTCTCTCCCTCCCTCCATCCCTCCCTCCTTCCCTCTCCTCCCTCTCTCTCCTCCCACTCCCCCTCACACACACATCTCTCTCTCTCCCTCCTCCTCCCTCTCTCACACACCTCTCTCTCTCTCTCTCTCTCTCTCTCTCTCTCTCTCTCTCTCTCTCTCACACACACACACACACACACACACACACTGGAATTGGCACCAAACCCTCAGAGTGACTGACTGGAGTGACCAATCACCTACAATTTTGAGGTTTTTGCAAGCTCAGTCAGTAACATCAGATAGCTTCACCAGTTGCTAAAATAGGACTTTACTAGAATTTTGCCTTGTTGCTAAATAAGAGTCCAGGCATATTCAAAGGATTTAATTGAATAAGTTTGATAAAGGGACTTTATAGAGGTCTACACAGGGTTATTGGACTAAAAAGAAATCCTGAAACACCCAGGGACTAGCAAGACCTTAAGTGTGAACACTCTTAGGATGAGTAGGAAGAAGCTGTTACTGATTTCCAGCAAGAACTGAGGCCATGGAAGTAGGGTTCTGCCCCGCAGCAGGGCTGGCTGTTGATAGGAAAGGAGCAAGAAACATAAATATCCCTTTCTCACTTCTTTCCAATTCTGCCAGTGCCTCCAAATGGATGAACGCAAATGGAATCTCAAAGGCAATGGTTTACTAGATGGCTAGTTCATGAGACCCAGGATTGGGAAGGAACAGAGAACAATGAATTTGGAGGTCCAAAAATAATAGCAAATTTTCACATTGGAATAATTTTTGTAAATACTGCACACTAACTAATTGTGCCACTGGAGCATGGCATTGGAATAACCTGAATTGTCAATTTTTCTCTTCAGTGTGGACTGGAAAAGTTTTGTTTGCATGTGGGCAGATTTGTGCAGCACCCATTCTGGTTCCTATGTTGAAGCCCTGACCCCCAAGGTAGGTTTGCCAGGTAATAAAAATTTGTTTCCAGTTACTTCAAGGGTCATTTTATATAGTGACTCTGTAATGCCAAGTTTGGGGGGTGGCACATTCGGTCTTTGCTCTCTTCTTCTATCCATTCAGGTTCCTTCTGAAGCCCTTCCCCCCATCATAATGCCTCTGTGAGCCACAGCCCTTTGTTTGGCACATGAAATTCCTTATTCTGTTATTGATTTTATCATGTTGTGGGAATTCTGCAAAGTGGTCTCAGGTTCCAGATATACTTCACATTCATATACCTCACAGGAAAATAGATGTTCCTATTTTGCTGGGTTCCCCTCAGTAGACATGGGTTGCAGAGATCTGTCACTCATCTCTTATTTCAGAGTCTCCAGACCTTCCCAAGTTCCCAGTTACCTCTTTTCAAAGACTTAGACATCTCCAATATGAAATTAGCTTTGCTTCCTTTCTGATTCTTTCTCTCCCCAGAACCAAAAGAATCATTTATAGTCTAGACATATTCATTTTTCTATGTTCTACCAAAGTCAATACTTAGCTTCCTATCTTGGTTTGACTGTGCCATTCATTCTTCCTTGAAACAATAAAAGAAGAAATAAAACAATAGGAAATTCGGAGTGGCAGGAAGAGGAAGCATTACCTACTCCAAAATACCATCCTTCAACTCCTGAGACTTGTAATTTCATAAGAAAGTCTGGGAGTCTCAGAAGTCACTATTCAAATATTGTCAGGACACAGAGCAAGGCCTTGATGACTGCTTTACAGAGCTTCTTCTAGACACAAAACAACACACCAGTTTCATTAACTGCCCATTTGACCCTGAACCTCAGTTCGGTCCTGCTTTCTGCAGACAGTGAGGGTGGAACACAAGAGCAGCATTATTCATTTCTCACAGCTGGGAGACAGAAACCGAGGGGAAATGTGGATTTCAGGATAATGTTTGGAATCTTTTCCCAGTCTGAACTGGAGAAAGGAACAGAGGCTGAGTCATGAACAACTAACCAGAGGCAACTGAATGCTTCAGAGTTAGAAGATGGGTCAGCCTACACAGCACCTGGGAAGCTGAGGTCAAAGCACTGAGAGGAATATTCAGACAGGCACTGCGTCTAGGAACATCCAATTTGGCAGGCAGAATTGTCATGAGAAGCCAAAGGTCAGGGTCAGTGGCCATAAGAAGATTTATATCAAGAGGAATGTGTGTTGAATGGCACACAGAATACTGAGTAATCTGTCTTTTGGGCCTGCTGGGCAGTATTCTAAAGACCCAACTTGAGGGTCCAAAACAGAAAAGCATTGACACTGTAATTAACACAATATTTCCTAATGCTTTTGATAAACACTCCCTGCTCCATCTAAACATCTGTGAATGGAAAAAAATATTTTGTGAAATAATGTATATTATTTTAAATTTATATGATATTTTTTATTTTGTAATTTTGTAATTTTAATTTATATATCAAGAGTATGGAAATAAGCATGCATTGTTCTTATGAGGAGATAAAGGTATATCTAGATATATATCTCTAGATATATAAAGACATATTTCTAGCCTCAGCTCAGAGACATTTTATCTTTTTTCTTTTAAGAGTGATCTGAAAGGATAATTTTACAGAGAAACCCCCAAAGTTGTGAAATACATTTAGCATTTCCTGGATGTAAAGTATTAAGCAGACACATAAGAACTTTCCAAAAATCTATGCCCACTTTGAGATGAGGGGTTTTCAAATGAAGGCTAAATGGCTTTTTACCAAGTTGCTCAGTGGGAGGTCTTACTTTGGTGAATTCACTGCATCCATGAGATCCAGGTTTTATCACTGTCCTAGAGTCAGATGCAAGTGGGGACAGTGACTTACACTAATCAAATTAAAATCAAAGCACATCAGGAGACTGAATGCTTATAGGACACAATGAAAATGATTTTGATCCAGTGAAAGAAATTTTATGTCCCCTGCTAGGGACAGTTCCTTCCTAGAGAGGTCAAAATACCATCTCTCAAGTTGCAAGGTAAGCACAGAATCACAGCAAAGGGGGTGGAGAGTCTGGGAGGGTTCTATCCAGGCCATGGTGTGGTATGATGAATCATTCCTAACCCTTTGTGACAGAATGCCTCTCTAGCAATTAAATTAAGGTTGTCTTGCAGATTCAGTGTGTTCTTAGCTTGGACAAGGCTGGAAAAATACTGCCAAGTTTTGTTCAGTTGAGCTACACTTTCTGTGATTCAGACTGTCCCTTTGTGTTCAGGTATTACAGTACAACTGATTTGACTCAATATTAACTATTCTCTTGTGTGTCTGAGACACAGCTCACCTTGTGTGCAGCTGAGGACAATGCAAATCCTTTGATCGCATGCTTAGAAACTGTCACTTATTCATTCATCTAGATTTCTAAATATTATTCGTGAATTCTTAGTTGAACCTTGGAAGTTAATCTTTTTCCCTTATCTCCAACTTCATAGAGGACAGCTCATACCTCAGACCTACACTCACAGCTTAAAGCTCCACTAGAAAGATAACAAATGACAGACTAAACTTTAGTGTCATCAAAGGTTATGTTTTGGGAAAAGAGAAACTATCTGTATGTCATCTATCATATATAGGTAAGATATCAGACATCATTTATATTCCACTATAATCAGAGGGCACCTTTTAAGATTTGAAAGGAGTTTCATCTGAGAAAAATTCTTTAACAAATTATCTAACAATAAATTTCCCAAGTAAGTGATATAGGTTGAAAATATAAGAGGCATACAAAGAACTCAATAAATTATTGGGGAACCATTAGAGATTATTTAAGGGAGCATGGAGTTTGGAGGTCATCCTCCCACCACATAAATCCCAGGTTCTGGTCCAGGAAGTGACACTGGACCAAGGTGTCCAATATAGAAAAGCAATTTTTGCTTTTTCTCCTCAACTCATAGGCAGTTGCAGAACCTGTATCCTAAAAAAACAGAGAAGTTTTACTGCAGAAATAGTTTCAAAAACAATCTAGGACAAGGAGGAGGGAGAACTTGAACTGTAGTACAATTGTAACAGAGACCCTGGCCAGTTCTGTGAGAGAATGGATCTAGGATGGTCCTTCTCAGATGTCTAGAGTCCCAGCCATGGGAATGGGATATAACCTTGTCTAAATTGACTTTCTTTAACTGAGGACAAATCCTATAAAGACACTCAAGGGAGAGTCTTTAGCCACTAACATTCCTAGAAAATGTGGAAATGAATGTCTCAGTCATAGATGGTGCACCAGAACTTCCAACCACAGCTATCAACCATTTAACAGCATGTAGTCATGCAAGTTGGAGATCGATGGCATGAACATTGTTAGCATTGAGATATTGCTGTTCTGTTTTTTTCTAAATAAATTTCTAAGAGATAGCAGTATTGAGTAAGAGATATCATTCCCAGACCATTTCACCATAAAGGCAGTATGTTTCCTGTGCTAAGCCACCTCCATCCACAAAAAAGGAGCCAACACGTAACACTGCCTAACACAGCCTCTTCCATCACCCCATATTTGTGGAGGCAATATGGTACAGGACAAGTGATGGGTGGCTGCTTACTGGGGAGAGAGAGGGACAGTGATAGGGAGGGCAGGAAACACACTTTGTAACTATGCCCCTGAATCTGGTGGGACTATATGAATGGGATGCTAGTCGTTTGATCATAGCCCTGGCACAAAGATAACCTCAGAATATCTAATAACTTTATCACTGATGGCCTATCTCCTTGATCTTGATGCCAGATGTCCTTACTGTAGCAGCTCCTTCACCTCTTTCCCTCTCTTATGTCAAACCACAATTGACAAATGACAAGAAATGTATTGGAATGAAGGTTTAGATGACTCAGTCATTGTGCCTTCTCTCTAGCACACACCCTTCCGCAAAATATTTAGCTGAAATCATTTGCAATCAGCTATAATGCAGATAAGGCATCGGTCATACTCCTGGCAGCACACCACAGAAGAGAAGGGAAATTCTGGAAGATGTGAGGAGACTGAGAGTTAACTGCCCAGTGTTTCTTTTGATTTTCCTTTTTGCTAAAAGAAACCCAATTTTATTTTGAGTGACCATATACTCAGCTAAAAGACTACATTTCCCATGCTCCCATGTACTTAGATGTTGTTATAGGACAGGGAGAGGGGCAGCCCAAACCCCCGCAAACCTGCCTATTCTAAATGGGTTCTGCCATCCGCCGCATCAACACAAAACATAGGAGACTTTAATGGGAAGGAACTTTAATTAAACTAGGAAACAATACAGGTAAGGCAAAGAGTCTAGTTTCTAAATGAAGCATACAGAGTTACCCGTCCCCTCGTGGGTAAAACTCCATCCATATGGGATCGGCCCAGAACAAGGCCCCAAAGCCTGCCACAAGTCTAAAGCATCTTCCAGTGGGGACCCACAGAAAAGGGTCACAAACAACCAGACAAGCCCGGAAGGAAAAGAGCAAAATCAACATCAAGATAAAAGCTGCCATTGTCACCTCCCCACGGGTCTCACCCACATCTGTGTCACCCAGTCCACGACCAAAAGACAAGCACAGTTTCTTCACGTGTCTCTAGGCTCCATGCGCCTCCTCCAGGTCTCCTGGCTCCATCCTGATTCCTTCCTCAGTCTCTTCTGCCGCTTCTCCTCTTCCTGCTCAGCTCCACCCTCCCTTGGGCGGGGCAGGGAACCTCCCCCTTTCCTGGGGACCACCCTGTTACAATGTGACTAAATTAATGTAAATAACAGTCAGTGGGGAAAAACACAGAGGAAAGACTTTTTAATCAGGTTGAGTCAATTCACAGACTACTTTTTATTCAGCACCTCTCTCTTTTGTTCCTCTTACTGGAGCTTGAACATAATAACCAGGGGATCAGATATTTTGGACATGAGTTAACATTGAGAATGATGGAGCAGAAAGGTAAAGACCCTTGTCCCTTAAAAACGCTAGAGCTGTTGTGCCAATCCTAGACCACCTACTTCCTGTAAATGAGGGAGAAATGAACCTCTATCTTCTCTATCTTGTTTAGAACATTTTTTTGGATTTTCTGTTATATGCACCCAAAACAAATCCTAACTGACACAGAATTTGCTTCCAGAAACAAGGCACTAGAAACAACAGAATTCAAAATACCAACCTGGCTGAATGGAGGCAGTTTGGAAGCAGATATTAAGAATTCAGACATCATCGCCTGAGAACCCTGCTGCCCTTGTTACTGCAGTAGTGAAGCATTTTGTCAATCTGTTTACTACTGTACCTTGGCAATCAGACTGCATGCTGACCAAAGTTGAAGTGTCGGGAAAATGATATGAAAATTAAAAACCCTGATATGTGCTAGTCTCTTCCTGCTGTTCTCTGCAGATTCCTTCAAGAGAAAAAGGAGCTCACATTAGAGCTAGCCATACTAAAAGCACAGATGGAGAGAAAAACCAACTTACTAAGGAAGATACTCCTACCTACAGTCTGCAATCTGGATTGAATAGGACACTCATAGTTTAGGTCTTGCAGTATTGAAAAAGTATCTAGAGCAATATTGAAAAAGCCAAATGCATTTGTGCCCCAAACTGAAACAGTTACCAGCAGTAGCTGTAAAATTGCTGTCTTTACAAGAGATAAGACTGATATCCTTTCATAGAAAATTAAGAACTTGCTAACAAATAGAGGATTACAGGTATTATATTTCTGTCCAAGCACATTGTATCAGATGCCTCAAGGAAGTGATTGTCTATTTGAGAAGGCAAAGCTTAGTAAAGCCCAGAGGCCAGTAAATAAAGATGAGACCTTTCAGCCTAAAAGCTCTTTCTAGCCTTTGCCTGTAATTTGCATACAACTGAATAGAAGCAACAAAATTGGAAACTTGCTTAACTTTAAATAATGCAAAATAATAATCATTATAAACTTAAACATGGTCAACAACACCCTTCAAAACAATCCTTGAGTCCTAAAACCTTGGACTAGCAGCACTTGCACTAGCATATTTTACATGGGTCATGGAGGGTGATGAGTAATGGCAAGACTTCTAGCATTCAAGGGCAGAGACAGCCAAAGAGACGGACAAAGGAGAGAGTATTTTCAGGGAGAAGAACTGAGTCTACCTGATTAACCAACTCATCATGTATTCCATTGAAATCTTCCATGGAGAAGGCTGGGAATTCTTGCTATTCTTACTTAAAAGGATTGGATAATTGCTGTGCATCAGTGTTTCCTGTTCTCTGGTTTTGTATATATGTTAGTATTGATTACAATCACCACGTTTCTTCCCCATCATGGTGCACTTGTTCTTTGGGAAGAAATAACTTGCTTTTGAGTTTATGTGTTACTAGACCACAAGAAGGAAAAAAAAAAAAAACACTTTAATATGGTAGAAATGACTGTGTAGCGTCCAGATAGCCTTAGTCTTGAGGTGACTATAGTAATTTGATAAAAATTTAGAATTGATGCTTCTAGAGAGTTGACGGTTGTATGTTCTTCATGGATATTGGGGAGCAAAGGGGCAGACCATACCAGAAAGTTAACTTCCTAACTATATCTACTCCTCCCTTCTTTCTAACAGAACTTGATTATTCTTTGAGCATGTCCCTGATTTATTTTATATTTTTTTAAGAGTCATGTATTTTTATTTATTTATTTATTTGTTTATTTATGCATGCACTGGGTACAGTCAGAAGCGCGGGAGGGTGAGAGAATTCACCAGAGCCAGAGCGGGGAGCAGAGCAGGCAGAAGGACCAAAGTACACTGCTGAGGGGAGCAGCGGGCGGCAGGAGAGGTCTGCGCACCATGTGGGACCCTCTGCTGGTGGCTGGGGAGCAGCCGGGGATCGAACCGGCGCGGCAGAGGCCGCGGGCAGCTTTGCAACCCAGCGCTCAACTGCTGTGCCACCGGGGAGGCCCAAGAGAGTGTCCCTGATTTAAAAGAAAGAATAAATGAAGGTAAAAATCAAACAGATAACTTTTAACATACTCCCTTAGAACTAGAGATGGTAATGAGGGTCTTTCAGGAAAGCTCATTAAATGGGGATGATTCCTCTGAGAAGTGTGCTTTAATTTTTTGCATTCCCTCTTTTTCTTTTTTACTGCCAAAAGCATAGAGCTAATCATTGGAGCTCTGCCAATCAGCTCAGACAAAAAAACCAAACTTGACTAGGAAGTTGTGCTCTAAAATGGTGGAGTATAAAGATGGAAGGAGCCTGGCTCCTCCTATCATGATATATTAGCCTTTATCTGGTGCCAGTTGTTTTATTATTATTTTTTTAATAGAGAAAATGTCATTTGTGTTTTCTGTTATCTTCAGATTAATTGACTCTTATTCCAGTGCCTGGGATAAGAAGAGCCTTAACACTTCAGAAGTCATTGTTTGTTTGTATTGCAATATCATAATATTTAAAGTTACTGCTCATATTATATCCATAAGGACAATTTAGTAATCACAGAACTTCCTTGGCCATTCCCTGAGAGTGGAGATTCCCAAAGTCATGTTTAGGAAAAGCTAGAAAACAAATTACATGGGGTATGACCTCTGAGGAAAAGCGTGCTTTGTTTTGACTCAAGTTCTGCCCAACAACAAGAGTGTTTATAACTGTATCCAAATATACAAGAGACAGAAAGAGATTAGGGACGTTTATGTTTGAACTAGCTTGCTAGATGTCTACAGACTAGCTATGTGGTCATTTTATTTGTCACATAGAAAGAGTAGTATTGTTTTCATTGATTAAGAGTGTAAATCTCATGCTCTAGTAAAGGGAAAATTCTCAAGGCTTTTCCAGTTTATGACCATGTGGGAATAACTATAGCTTGTTACCTGATTTATTTTTCCAAAGGTGCTAGGGATTCTACTGCTATAACAAATCACCACCAATTTACTGGTGATAAACAGCACCCATTTATTCTCAGAGTTCTAAAGGTCAGAAGTCATAAAATGGGTCATCAGGGATCTGTTTCTTCTGATGCTAGGGAAGAATTCTATTTCCTTTCAGAGCTTTCTGGATTCCTTGGCTTGTGAATCTGTCCTCCATATTTAAAGCCTGTATGTGACATCTTCTAATCTTTCTTACCCTCTGCTCCCATCTTCACATTGCTTCTCTCTGACTCTTTACAGTCTCCCTTTTATGAAGATCCATGTGATGATGTTGGACCCACTTGGAAAATCTAAAATAATGTTCCCCACCTCAAGATTCCTTACATAATCACAACTACAAATTCTCTTTTGCCATATATAGTGTCACATTCATGGTTCCAGAGATTAGGACATGACCTTTTCTGTGAAAGTCAAGGTTCAGCCACCTAACAGCAAGGCAAACTGGTATCCTCTTGAGAGTTCATGTTGCCCTATGTTTCCATATCCCTAAATATCTCCCTCTGCAACTCTACCAAATTGTCCCATTTTTTGCCATTAAAATTTTCATCAAGAGACCTCTATGAAAATAAATGTATCACTTCTAGTATTAAAGCATAAAGCTGTCAGCTTTTCTTTGGATTCCCTGTCAAGCCGTACCTACCTTGGAGATGATGAGAAATTGTCTGTAGGCCAATTAAATTTTACTAGGGGAAAAGTTATATTGACAGTGTGTGCTTGCACAGGGTACTTCTGTGGAGGCCTTCAATGAGGTGCAGATATGGTTGGGAGACAGCTGGAGGTACTTCATAACCTTGAGTAGTGGATGTATATAAACACAATGCTCAAAAAGACAAAGAGGGTTTGACTAGTTTGCATTCCCACTAGCAGTATAGAAGAGTTCCATTTTCACCACATCCTCACCAACATTTGTAGTTGCTAGTTTTTTTAATATGTGACATTCTCACTGGTGTAAGGTGGTATCTCATTGTGGTTTTGATTTGCATTCCCCTGGTTATGAGGGATGTTGAACATATTTTCATATGCCTGTTGTCCATTTGCATTTTCTCTTTGGAGAAGTGTTTTTTAAGTTCTTCTGCTCCTAAGGATCTACCCAAAGGACATAAAAACATTAATTCAAAAGAATACATGCACCCCTATATTTCTTTTATTAAAGATTTATTTATTTTATACAAGAATCAGGGTACAGGCCAGATGCACGGGAGGGTGAGAGGATCCACCAGAGACAGAGAGGGGGAACTGAACAGTCAGACTGACTGAAATACACTGCTGAGGGGACAGTGGGTGCAACAGAAGAGGTCTGCCGTGCCATGTGGGACCCTCGCTGGCCTGCCGGGAATGCCGGCGCTGCAAAGGCTGAGGACAGCTTCACAGCGCAGTGCTCAACTGCCTGCGCCACCAGGCGAGACTCCCACCCCTATATTTATTGCAGCACTATTTATATTAGGTAAGACTTGGAATCAAACAAAATGCTCAAAATTAGATGACTAGATCAAGAAGATGTGGTATATATACACAGTGGAATATTATACAGCAATCAAAAAGATAAATTAATGCCTTTCGCAGCAACGTGGATGGAGCTTGAAGGGATTATGTTCAGTGAAATAAGTCAGAAGGAAAAAGAAAACACTGCATGGTTTCACTTATAGGAGGAATATAGGGGAATCAAGGAAAAAATAGTAACAAAAAAACAAAGCAAGAATAAACAGATGACTATAAATCAGACATTCTGTAGGGGAGAAGGAAGGAAAGGTATCAAAACGAGGGTGGGAAGAGCACAAGGGCCTATGGTGATGGTACACAGGTGAGTTGGTGGTGGAAATTCTATGGGGACTACACCTGAGAAAAGAAAGCAAACATAGTAAGAAAAAAATAGCTTGAAAAAAATGAAAAAAAAAAAAAAAAAAAGTAAAGAGTGTATTTGATACTCTGCAAAGAAAGTGGAATCTTCTTTTGTTCAAGAGTGTCTAGGGATAGGTCCACTGAAAATAGCTAACATGAGTGAAGTGTTTATTATATGCCATTGTAATAGATTAAATATTGGTCCTAATGTTAGGGGGGAAAAGGATGTCCTAAAGCTAATTTCATACAGGCTTTGTGGAATCCACCCCCACCCCAGGCCAAAGCCAAAGACACTGGGAATTCCAAATCCCATCACCACCAAAGGGAAGGTGGCTGGGACCTGAGGGTGGGCTTAAGCAGCCAGGTTGATATAAGGCAGACATGTGGGCTTTGGAGGGGTCCCCCATTTTGGCTCTCCACCAGCTCGCAGTGTCCGGCCAGCTCTGAGAGTGCCTTTGGGTTTCCGGGTCGGTGGATCGGGTAGGACGCATTAAAGACTTTATTTCCCTATTTTCTCCCTGAGTTGTACATTTTCCTTATTTCCTTTTCCCTTGTAAATCAACCTTTTATTAACCTTTTGTGTGTGCCTGTAGTGGAGTATTAATAAGTCCCTTTTAAGCGCGCGGGTGAGGACCCACAACCAGGCAACCCGTTCAATATCAGGGCTGCCCTATAACATTAATTCTTCATATTTTCTACTATTCAAATCCATGTCTGCAACCATGTAACTTTGCAACAAAGGCAGAATATATTTCCTTAGTCCTTGAATTTGTCCTTATCCACATGACTTATTTGACCAAAGGATGTCACCAGATAAGAAAGAAGCAGAGGTTTAACATGCTTGCTTGCCTGGGCTTGCCCTCTGCCATGGGAATAGACTATGCTTACTTAGTCCACTGACCCAAGGAGGGGAAGAGATTTGTAGCACATTGTCAGTGCAGCCTGCAGCAACTTAGACTTGCCCTCTTGATCTGACATCAGAGAAATAAATGTTTATTATTGTATGCCACAGAGACTTTTGTGATAGTTTAGGTCAGCTTGCTTATTTCCTGAGTCAGTCAAGAATTGTTCTAAGTGTTTTAGATGTGTTGAGGCATCTAAATTTTACTTGAATTTTATAAAGTAGATATTATTCTCCGTATTTGGTAGATGAGAAAACTTAAGAATTGAGTCATTAAGAAACTGGCTCAAGGGGCCTCCCCGGAGGCGCAGCGGTTGAGCGCTGGGTTGCGAAGCTGCCCGCAGCCTCTGCAGCGCCGGTTCGATCCCCAGCTGCTCCCCAGCCACCGGAGGATGGTCCCACATGGTGCGCAGACCTCTCCTGCCGCCCGCTGCGCCCCCAGCAGTGTACTTCGGTCCTTCTGCCTGCTCTGCTCCCTGCTCTGGCTCTGGTGAATTCTCTCACCTTCCCACACTTCTGACTGTACCCAGTGCTTGTATAAATAAATAAAAAATCTTAAAAAAAAAAAAAAAACTGGCTCAAGGGGCCACCCCTGGTGGCACAGGTGGTTGAGCGCAGCGCTGTGAACCTGCCTGCAGTCTCTGCAGCATAGGTTTAATCTCAGCTGGCCAGCGAGAATCCCACATGGCACTGTAGACCTTTCCTGGCTTGCCTGCTACTCCCCTCAGCAGTGTATTTCAGTTAGTCTGCCTGTTCTGCTCCCAGCTCTGTCTCTGATGAATCCTCTCACCCTCCCATGCATCTGGCCTGTACTCCAGTTCTTGTATGCATAAATAAATAAATCTTTTTTTTTTTTTTAAAGAAACTGGCTCGAGCTCATATAACTAATAAGTGTTGGAGCTACAATTTAAATTTGCACAGTGTGTCAATTGAGTTCTTAACTACAGGACTGCACATGGGTCATAACAAAAAGCATGCATTTCCTTTTTTCTCTCCTTTACTCTGTATGACCCATTTCCAATCTGTTCTAAAACATTGGGGATTCTTACCTTTTTGTAGATGAGTTAGATAAATCCACTGGATAGGGGTGCTGGATTCTGATATCATCAACAAGGAATTCAAGATTGCCCAAATAGAGAGAAATCTTTCCTTTGCCAATCAGTTGCTCACACTTTCAAGGCCTGATCTGGTAAAGAATATACTGGTAAAGCAAGGATATGTACACACAAATCAATGCATGGTGTGACCGACTGCTAAGGGACACCTATTTTCAAAAGGACTAGCAATTTAAATAATACCTTATTTCTTTGCCTCAAATCCCTGTAGAAGTTCATTCATTTTAGAAACTCTTGGGAGCTGAGTGCATAGGAGGTTGATATAACCATAGGGGGTAAGCAGTCATCTATAAATGAGACTCTAGGAACCAAACCTTTGAACATGGGTACTGAGGAATGAGATTTTCATGAAGCAAAGAACTGACAGAGATTAAAAGGAGTGTCAAGAAAAGTTGGATGTTCCTAGATAAAAAATAGGAGACCAAAAAGAAGCAAAATATTTGAGAATTGCCAATAAAGAACAATAAAAAGGATTATGTCAGAATTTCTTTAATTTTGTGACATATGTGTCATCTATATTTTGCCTGGTTGTTAGTAGTAGTAAAAAATAATAAGTCAAGTTGATAATGTTGTGGCAATAACCAAGGGAGTAGAGAGCCAGGAAACTCTATCTGCTGCTCAGTCTTGGGTGATGTTAATGGTGAGAGTGGTGAGGGTGGTTGTGGTGGTTGATGACCTCTATCATCATTTATTGTATTAATTTCCTTATGGTATTACTGAGTTTGATTTTTCAAAATAATCATGTAAAGGAGACACTAATGTTTTATCTCTTTTACCGTTGCAGGGTATGAGACTCAGAGAGGTTAAATTATTCTCTGATAGTGGAAATAACGTTCACAAATAAAAAATTTGACTTATTATTGCCTTTTAACAAAGAAACTGCTGAAAACAATTGCTCACCATTTTGTAAAGGAAAGGATACGTGACAGATTCCCTTGGAATTTCAGTGATAGATAAAGAGGCAGAAAGGAAAGTTGTGATACATGCAAAAAAGTATAACACATTAAGCTCTTGACAGCCACATCTCCCTGACTGGTCCAAGATAAGTGTTTAGGGATTCAGTCTTCTGTGGCCTTTACCACATTTTTTCCAGCCTACCCAACAGAATCTCTATCCTGTACCTTCTGGGAACATTGCCTTTTTGCTTTTCAGAATGCATCCTCATATAGCGCAAGGGCTGTCCAGGGCTGGCAAAGGACAAGTACTGCAATAGGGACTGGAGAAGCATCTGTAAGCCCAGGAGCCAGAGCAGGGAGTTCTTTCCATGACAGCAGGAAGGATCAAGACAACAGGGGCAGATTAAGCCAAAAGCATCTGAGAAAAATGCAATATAAAGGAGCCTGAGGTATATATAAAAGTCAACTTTTGGAAGCAGAAAATCAAGACCAAGAAAAATAGATTAAGGGCAAACTGTATAAGCAACCTAGATGGTTGTCTTGAATGTAGTTTGGTGCTTGAAACTGGCATCTGTAAACCTGGAGACATTATACATGAATGTGTTGGTTCTGCATTAAGTGCCAAGTTTCAGTTGGCACTGCTGGAATTGGAATCAAGCTTAAATCCTGCTCTGTTTGATGGTGGCCTAAACTCTGGTTTCACAGCTTGCCATTCCCTGTCTCAGGAAGTGTTTCCTTAAACCACTAGCTGCTAACTGGAATTCAGCCCTAAAAGAAACTGGTCACCAGGAAACACAATGCAATCATTATATCTGATCATAAGGATCTATAATTTTCATTTGTGCTGTAACCTCTTTTCAACCAATACCATCAGTTTGTACTCTCAGATACCAACACACCCCATATGACCCCTTTCTTTCTACTGCTCCCAGCATCCATTGCCTGGGTCCAGGCCTGTCCTCATATCGGGCCCCCCAGTTTCCATTTCTGTCCCTTCTAGTTATAGGCATATCATATATGCAGAAGGAAATCTTTCTCAAACAGTGGAGATTTCTTTGAAGATAATTGAAGTTAACAGAATTAACTGCTGTCTAGGGTACCAACCAGAAATTTACTTCTCTCAAATTTATTGCCCACCCCTTCCCTGCTCTGGCTTATATTTCAAAAGTTGGCTCATGAAAACTCTATCTCTGAGGTGCTCTTGTTAATTAGTTGAGTCCAGCTAATGGAAGTCAATGCCAGGACAGTGGAGGGTCTTTCCCTCACTTTCGATGCATCTATGGAAGTGACTTTGTCTCCTCCATGGTACCAATGCCTTTTAATTAATCCCCCTCTGAGGGCTGCAGCTCCTAAGCTCCGGTAACACTGTTCCCTCCTGTGTCTCTTCAGCTCTAAGAATGATAATGGTTCACCGCTATTATTAAATCTCTTTAATATTGCCACACAATTTCCTCTTTGAATTTTCAGCTCCTTCAATATCTCTTTCACTAGCTTCTACATACTTTCCAGGATTTCTACTGCCCTGGAGGCCACATCTACCTCAACCCAAATTTTCCAAATGGGGATTGGTCTGGGCCACCTTCTTGCTGTATAAGTGGTCTATAAATGCCTTGTTTTCAGGAATTTGTTTCCTTGTGATTCAAATACTGACATAAAATATCTTCATCACAATAAAAATGCAAAGTACAAAGTTGCTGTTCTGCACCATATCACAGAGGATGTGGAGACATTATTCAAATGTGTTCAGGACAATTGCTGCACATGCACTTGCAGGCTGATGGGGACTTAAAAATAGCACAGTCCATTAAAAGGGGGGAAAAGAAAGACTCTTTGGTAACAAAATAAGTGACTGTTGTCTTTGTCCCTGTTTCATACAGACACCAGCCCCCTAGCCAGACTCTTTGCAGAGTTGCAGTTTTCTAGGAAATGTAAGGATAAGCGGTAATTATAAGGACAGAAAGAAGAAACAAAGCCAGGGACAGAAGAATTTAGGACCACACAGCCCCTTTTGCTGCCTGCGGTCTTCTCGGCCACCTGCACAACTGAGCTGCCATCGCATGGTTACCTGGGATTGCTGGTGCTGCACTAAACAAAACTGCTACAGATGGTATTGAACAGAAAGGATCACTGAGGTGCTATGAAGAAAGTTCAAATTGCAGTGACTTGGAGATTTTTTTTTTTTATCTTAGTCCTTTGCATCACAAATGGAGAACTCAGATCCAGAACTTAGAACTTGCCAAGGTCTCTCAGTTATGGTAAGAACTAGAACTTAGGGCCCCAGATCAGTGTTCTTTAGACTCAAATTTAGTGCAGTGTTGAGTCTACGGAAAGGCATATTTAATAAGTTGTATTTCAGTTCTTCTTTTCCACTTACATCAATAAAAAGATAGATAGATAGATAGATAGATAGATAGATAGATAGATAGATAGACAGATAAGTAGATTTTTCACACAGGCAGAACAGGAAGGTATCCACTAAGGAATTGGTGTTGTAGAAAGGCATACAGAGGATCAGAAAAAAACAAAATCTTATCAGTCCCTTCTAACTAGTTGTAGATAATGGAACTGGGGCGATTCATATGAGCTTTCTGAACTTCATTTTCCTCATCAGCAAATCAGTCATAAAGACATAGGCTTATCTGCTTTATAGGGTATTTTGCTGTTAAAATGAATCACAAAATAGAAACATGTGAAAACATGTTTGCAAATGTTAGGAGATGTTTGCAAAATGTTGGGAAATGTTTGCAAGATGTTGGGAAAAAGAAAGGGTCAGCAAACGTTTTCTAAAAGTCCAGAAAAGTCAACATTTTAGATTTTAAGGCTAAATACAAGCTCTGTTTCAACTATTCAACTCATCTGTTGCAGCACATATGCAGCCATGGACAATACCTAGAGGAATAAATGTAACTGTGTTACAATAAAACTTTATTTACAAAACAGGTAGAAAGTAGAATTTAGCCTATGGGCCACAGCCTGCGAATCCCTGGGATAAAGTACTAGCACTTTTAAAGTGCATCTTTACTGAAAAAAATTCTCTGGCTCTTCCTCCATTACATCTCTTCTCTAGCCCAGGGCTTGATGACTCAGCCCAAGTCTTATTTTTAGAGCACCAGCTTTTTAAAGCTTAGCTTACTAGAGGGATTTAAGATACATAGTCATCTGCTAAGTGTGGAGGGGGGTTAAGCTAAAAGTACCCAAGCACATTTATAACCACAGTCAGAGCCATTTTTCTTTAAGAATATGTTTATGTCTACATTTAGACACAGTCACATACATAAAGTGATATAGAAAAAGAAATGTGGCTGTAGATAAAAAATATGTCATTGGATTTCATAGAAACTGCAATACAGGACTAGATAGAAACATAAACAACAACACGATATTTATATCCTAACTCTAACTTTTTAAAGTACATTCACTTTACTTTCACTTATCACTGTGGATTATGAGAGAGTTTTGACAGATTTGAGAGGAAACAGATACTTAGCTTAGGGAGTTGCAGCGCTTGGGGTTCATAAGCTCAGAGGCTCTGTCTTTGTGAACCCAGCTGTGCACTGCCCCTCAGACTGAGATCTGGGTTTCGCAACAGAGTAGCCATGGCCGTGATTCTTCCTGACTTTTTGACAAAGAATCATGGAGTTAACTTTCTTTGAGGCAATTACTTTCTTTCCCCCTTGATTAAAATTCTGTCTGTTAACTAAAAATAACGAGTATTTTAAATTCCTTGGGATGGGTAGGTTAATGCATAAATCACCCCTCAATAGTGGCTGGGGATGGATCAGGCTGGATAGTTTCTTGGAGCATGGAGGAGGTGAGTCATCTGTTGGTTAGCTGGAATTAGAAATGCTCCTCAAGCTAAAAGCATGAAGTTGATATGTTTATGACTTCCCTTTAAATCTATGATGGGGCTTTGTGGTCCTTAGATAGAGGCAGACTGTGTCTCTATAGTCCATCTGCAGTGGACTTCAGAGAAAGGATTAGAGATATAGTATTGATGTTGCTGGGAAATTCCAGTTTCTTTGCTTCCACATGCCAGGAAGCCAAAAATGGCAAAGGACAGACCTAGAATCTTTAATATGCATTTTTATTAGATTAGCCAGCTAATCTGAGAATGGCTGAGCATCATGCTCCAAAGAAATTGTTCCAACACCTCAGCTCTAACTGGCTGTTTTACAGTGAGCTAAAGAAAGATAGTTAATTATCAGTAAGTGTGCTTTTGTTCCATGTGGTTAACAACTTCTGGGAATTCTTTGGTGCCCCATCTCTTTAGCTGCTCCCCCTCTGCTGGCATCTAGATTTAGAGTACTTTACTCTACCTGGAATGGCTAAGTCTCTGACAGAAATGGTGTCTATCACTCTTCCAGGAGCTTCCTGACTGGAAAGTTAACCTAGAGCAAACAACTCATAGGTCAAACAATGTGTGTATGTGCAGATTCCTAAACTATGCATGGTGCCCTGTTCATCCCCTCCCCCACCCCATCATTGATACTGACTTCATCTTAGAAGAGAGTAAAGAAGTTCCCCAGTGGGGTTGGAACAACTAAATCACAGAGCACATGATGAGTATGCTTCATATAACTAAATAGAACACCAGCATGTAGATTGTACATGTTGAAGAAATAAATGGACGGTAACACAGTACAGGGTGGCTTTTACCCCAGGAAAGAGGCAGGTTGCCACTTAAAAAAAATTAACTCCTTTCCAAGGGATCCTGATGTTGAGGGACCATCTTGGGGTTCAAACAAATTGAATAAGTTCTTAAAAGTGCCCAAAAGTCCAGCTGGATGATGAATATACATTCACATCCATTTGAAGCAGTAATTTCAAGTTTTTCGCAATTGGTTAGTTGAAATCTAAACTGGTAGTCTTGGAGAAAGGAGGACAGGCTGAACCCAATTTATAGTAACATGTGGTCAATAAGCATTTATTAAAATAAATTGAATCTGAATACATAATTTATTAAGCACAACTGTACTTTAAATTTCTCATGATTGTAATTATTTCAATATCTACTGCTTTATTTAAACTCTGTGGTTTACATGCAATTAATCCTTGCCTTTCCAAGGGATAAAGCTAGCATTTTCTGACTTACAAATTTGAAGGCATTTTTCCCTTTGGGATATTGGAATATATTACTATTTTTAAAAAAACTTCAGTGTTGGACCTCCCTGGTGGCGCAGGCGATTGAGCGCCGTACTGTGAGGCTGTTTGCAGCCTCTGCAGTGCGAGTTCGATCCTGGCCAGCTGGCGAGAATCCCACATGGCGTGGCAGACCTCTCCTGTCTCGCCTGCTGCTCTCCTCAGCACTGTGTTTTGTCAGTCTGCCTGTTCTGTACCCCACTCTGTCTCTGGTAAATCCTCTCACCCTCCCACGCATCTGGCCTGTACCCCAGCACTTGCATAAATAATAAATAAATAAATAAATCTTAAAAAAACTTCAGTGTTCAAGAACATGTAGGCTAACATAGATCTTGTATGATGCATACAAATCAACTAACCAAGCTGGCGAGTATTGTTACTCTAAAAAGTTGTTCCAAACAACTGATTTTTAAATGATTATGTTGTAGAAGTTCATGTTTATGTTTAGGACTGCTAGTCTATGCACACAGGTGTGTGTGTGTGTGTGTGCGCGCGTGTGTGTGTGTCTGTCTGCCTGTCAATTCAATGCCTCCCAAACCTCTTAGTATCCCACAGAATAAATACCCACTCTTTCAGAAACTTGAAACTCAAATCATTTTTTAAAACCCTCGTATAAATACATTCACTTATTTCTATCATATCCCATCCCCCAGTCGATGAAAAATTGTTTGCCAGAAATAAATGCTTCCAGCAGCACCTTCTGCTTTCAGCCTATTAGAGTCCCTGAAGAAATCTGCAGTGCCACCCAATGGCTTTATCTCTATTGTGTGGAGTAAACAGATCACTGAAACTATATTTCCTTTCTATTTTAAATAGCAGCAAAAGAGAAACGGAGAAGATTGTCCATATGGTTATTTCCTGATTATACTCACAATTAGGGGGATGGAACAGCCCCTCCCCAGGGAAGATACTGAAGAACTTGAGGGTACATCTATATACCACAACCCTCCAACCTCAGTCAGGTCAGTTCAGGCAACAACTTTTCCATTCAGTGGGGGAAATAGCCCAGTGGAAACAAACTGGTGGCTCCCCAGCCCCTTCTCAAAATGTAAATCTCTGTTCTGGGAGCCTGTTAGAGAAACATGTGCTAAAATATATCAAATCATTAAAATAAGAATGAAAGAGGGCCTCCCCGGTGCCACAGCAGTTGAGCACTGGGTTGGGAAGCTGCCCGCAGCCTCTGCAATGCCAATTTGATCCCGGCCACAGGGGAGGGTCCCACATGGCGCTGCAGACCTCTCCTGCCACCCACTGCGCTGCTCCCCTCAGCAGTGTACCTCGGTCCCTCTTCTGCTCCCCGCTCTGGCTCTGGTGAATTCTCTCACCCTCCCTGGCTTCTGACTGTACCCAGTGCTTGTATAATAAATCTAAAAAAAAAAAAAAAAAAAAAGAATGAAAGAGAAAAGAAAGGAAGAAAAAGGAAATTCCACTTCTCTCTCCTAAGTCCTGCAGGAAGATAGATACCAGGAATTAAGTTCTTCCTTGTTATCCTTTGTGGTCTTCCAGTGGGTATGCAGAATTACTTTTGCCACCTTCAACTTTATTTGAGACAAATCAGGCCCCCCTGCTCTTTAGAGATCCCAAGTCTAAACTGATTTCCATACCAAGTCCCATGGAATACTAGATATATGAATTTGGGGATGCTAGAAGGTTTTACTCCTTATATTTAAAAAAAAAAAAAAATCTAGCATGATTTATAAAGGTATCCCTGCTCATACCTGGGCAGATGGAACTTAGTGGTTCTGTCCCCAGGGCAAAATGAAGAGGTGATTTATGCTGATTTGCTGAGAGAATGAATGAGTGTGTGTTTGCTTGAGAGGCAGCAGAAGTGAAGTTGGAGGATCAAGATTGCCCCTCTATATAGTTCAAAGTATCTGTGGTGTAATGGGAACTATATAGAACTTGAAGTAACAAAACTGCCAATTAGTCCTGGCTGTGCAATGCCTACATAATGGTTGTATGACCTTGGAAGGACATTCATTCTTTCTGAAGCTCAATTTCTTCCATATGTGTATATTGCTGATAATAAGC